GCGTGAATTGAATGAACTATGACCCGTACAATCTCGATTTGCATATTGTCAATCAAAGGTCCTGTTATTTGGTTACTCATGCAAATTAGGCAATTGGACATAAACATTGCCACGTGTGAGTGTTTTTTATTTTTAACCAGAAAATAAACAGCAATTTTAACGGTGTTCCAATAAGAATTCATTGGTCAAATTTTCACAGAATGTTCTTTAGATAAAAATCTATATAAAAAACGAAAAAAACTATTTTTGATTGAAATTCACAAATAAACTGCATCTCTACCTTAAACACCAAAAAATTATTTTCAGCGAAAAATTAATTCCAGTGAAAATAAAGAATTTTACAGTATTAGGAAGAAAGAATGAAAGAAAATTTACAGACTTAGCTGCACTGTGATTTCAGCTATTGTTATTATTATTTTTTAGTATTTAGGCCAGACTTTTATTATTCCTTGTTTCTCGAGTTTTTATAAGACAATTTTTTTTGAGGGTGGGAAAAACAAAAATTAATTCTTTTTTCTCATTAGATTTGTGTGATTCTCAAAGAATTGTAAGTGAGACCATTGATCGGAGAGAAGAAATGAAATAAAATTTTATTCCATGTATAACCTTGTTTCTCATCTGCGCGAGACTTCGGTACTTTGCTCATAATACTCCCACAAAAATGCAACTTGGGTTTGTTATGCGGCGGGTGGAAAAAAAATGAAGATTAAAATAAGGGTTTTTTTGCAATTTTTTTTCACTTACAAGTTGGCGGGCACGAGAAATTACGCTGAAATAATATTTTATTTTTATTTCATTTTCGGCTCCTGTTCATTCGGCGGGTTCGCGAAACAAGGGATAATAAAAGTCTGGCCTTAGTTGCCACTTAAATCTCGCTATTAATTGATTAGATAGAAACATTGTATTTTTATGTATTCAAATTATTATCATGAGTTGACTCTTCATCTAAAAAAAAAACAAACAGTCTAGGTTGAATAAATATAACTTGTCAGTGATAAAAAAATCTGTCAGTTAATAGCATTGATTAATGGCTATTTACCAATATTATGATGCAAATATGATAACAATGTTGTAAAAATCAACTGTGAAACTGAATATGACACTCATGAACAATGTACAGTTAATTGTCTTTACAGCAATTATTGCATACCATATTATCAGGAACCTTCTTGAAGTAATTTCAACAAAAATAATTATTGACTACCACAGTGTTTGACCTCAAATAACCTGTAATCGCTACAGAAGGTTGTAACAGATGGAATTTTATGACCACATCATTATTTGTGATGTCAGACTCAGAAGAAAACAAAATTATAATGGTCATGCTAAATTATTCCCCATCATTGGCTGTTTTAAATTCAGAAGAAAAAACTCGTACCCAAACTGTAAACCTTATCAGATGTATTAGGTTAATTTTCCAATCCAAAATGGCTGCCAAAGTAGAGTAAGGAAATGTCAAACTGTTTCCATAGAAACAAGTTCAGGTAGCCCATAATTTTTATTTGCTCTTGGTCATTTATTTTATGTATTCACACTTTACACCGATCTGTGATTTTATGGAAGCATGAATATCCTGTTAGGTCACATGTTCTAGAAATCGAAACAACTGATTTTAAAACAATTATTAGAATTTGAATGTTTAAACTGCAAGCCCTGATTGTGTGCATAAATTTCCTTTCTACATTATTTTGTGGCCTGTGACACAGACCTATTAATCGAATAATTCTAATTCATAACCTTATATGTATAAAGTCATTGTTTTCATTTTTTTATTAAAGTTATATTTTTGTCAAAATTTGTGTTATTTGTAGCAGCTATTGTAATCACAAGATATCTGCATCAGAATTATCTTTGCTGATCGCTGAACATCACAAAGTAATGGATTTGGTTGCGATTTAGTTTCAGAATCTTAGGGTGACCCTAAGTTGGATGTAGGATTCTCTGTTCGTCTATATCACAAAATTAAAATATTTTGTGTTTTTCATTCGTCTATTAATCAGGCACACCTGACTCTTGAGTTGTTTCCTGTATAGTCATTACTGGTGGGGGTCCTCCCTTTTTATACAATTACAGCAATTTTTTTTTTACTTGCAGTTACCACACCCAAACAAACTTTAATGTACAACGTACTTCCTAGGTTAGTTCTGTTCAGTATGCGCCCCAAAGTAGAATTTCCCAAAGCAATGCATGATGTGACATATTGTTATGATGACAATTTTAACAACTTCATGCTAAACTGTGCCATACGTCAAATTTTGATCAATGTGTCTTGTGAATGTCGTAACTTTCAGATCTGATTTGAAGATAATTAAAATTGAAAGGGTTTTTCTGACAATACAGCTTTAAATCGTAATAAATTGTAAATACACGGTAGTAGTAAATTGCAGAGTAGTGTCCGCTGACCATATTATGAAAACATAGATAAGACTATAGTTTGCGAGGAACGCTGATCAGATAATCAGATCCGTTATGATTTACTTCCTGAATTGTTGAAGAAACAAGTAGCAGGTCAACTTTATACTCATTTACATCCCTTATAAAAGTAGAACCCAACTCATAATTATGAAAATATCGAAAATCCAAATCTTTTTTGACATTATAGACATTTTTGAGTAACTTATAAAGAAAATAATGATATCCATTTTGTTTTAATTTTTGTACTTTTCTTTCATTGGTTGCTATGGTAAACATCTCAAAAATGATACATGATAACATATGATGAATAATACATATAAAGCTGATATATCGTCACTAACAGGCACGATTTATTTTTCGGCTCATTATTTCAAAATATATGTTTGTAGCAAAAATCTGAATGGTATTCACTGTTCCGATTTTCACAAAAAACATGCAAGTTGATAGTTCAGTGTAAGATTAAACATTGTGTAACATTTTTGCTTACCGTACCATTTTGTGTCTGAGTCACGTAATTGGAATTTTGCAGACGCTACCATAGTGAATGTACATTGTGTACAATATTTAATGGTTTAATGCAAGGTTACCCACTGTGACTAGTTGATAGAACTAAGTGATGTCAGTGATGTCATGTATTGCATGAACCAAAGATGACAAGACAATACTGGAATTCCCCTGAGGATAAAGTAGTTTTAGCCACATTGGCCAATGCTACAATGCTTTTTTTAGCTAAACTCTAGTTGCATTAGCCACTTCATAAGTGGGGTAAAACAAAATATGCAACTGTAAAAGTATATACTGTTAAATAATTTATTTTAGCTGGAATTAATTTTCACTGAAAAGACTTTTTGGGTGTTTTGTATGGAATTTATTTTCATTGATTTTTGACTTGTTGAATGTTAAAAATATAGGAAAAAAGGTATATTCGCTGGGTTTTATTTTTACTGAATCATTCCTTCATTAGTGAGAATTAATTCAAAGTGAAAATAAAGTATTTTATAGTTCTTATGTTTACCTGATGCTTTATTTACATTTCTGTGGATGATGACATGCTTTTAAATGACTTAAAATGTTTGCAGAGTAAGATCTGGTTTGAGATTACCCGATACTCTACGCCATTTGTGGAAAAAGTGAGACTAAAATTTGCTATTGGTGATTGCTGAAGAGTTAACTGAAATGCAGAAATAAAGTAGCTACTGTATAAAGTATATCAGGAGATGACCTATTAACCCAGAATGACCTATGAATGCCAGAGTCATCTTTTATCACCTATTTTAAAGCTACACAACAGATCAGTACAATTCAGTTCAACAAGAGCTTATGTTCAATAGAGAACAAAGTGCAAAATACTGCACCAAAATAAAAAGAGAATTGATCACATGATATAATTATGATTTCTACAACAGAAAACTTTAAGTTATAAATTTGTGATGATTAATCAATATGAAAGCAGGATTTATCAGATTATCTTTGATAATTGGCAGAATAATTACCGTACACTAATTCGTTTCCATCTTTTAAATATATATATTGGCTATTATTATTCACAGTATAAAATAATGTTGTAAAAACATAAATATAAATTTATCGTTTGTGTCAATGGTATATCACATGATGTGTCATTGTTTCAACAATGTGTCAACATAAAATAAATTATTAATTATTAAGGATAATGTTTTATAAACTTCATTGTAAATGTCACAATTCTATCAACCATAATGTCCTATGAAACGTGTCTATCCTTAACAAAAATGAGTCAACCAATGAAAAAACATGTTACATTGATGTAATAATCAGTTACACCTGTTGTGATTCGTTAACAGAAGAATATGATTAAATAACAGATCATTATCTGTTAATGTCATTATATAAAGCCCTACTCTGCCTATCACCAGATAGAGGGTCTGTGAAAAAGCCAAATAACCAGATATCTTAAACTGTTCACAAGTGAGTATGTTAGTAATAAAGGATTACCTGATTCGGTGTTTCTGTTCAGTGGTGAATCGGCGTCTGGCCTGTTTAGCGGTTCTTCATCTGGTATATCTGGCAGCTGCCGATTGGCCATCACATGGATTGTGTGTCTGTTTTTATTGCTTTTTCCTCTCAGAATGTTGAACTTTGAAAATTTGCTCGGCTTATGAGTTTGTGTTTTTCTGGTTGGTTGATGCCCTAATGTTTTTGATTTTAATGCCTTCAATCCAGCATCATCAAATGGAAACAGTTCATGACTTCGATGTCCATTTTCAAGGATGGTAGAATCAACTGGTGGCTTAGGAACCTCTTTGGCTTGATTCATGGAAAGTGATCGTGCCAAAGGACTCCTTACTGGAATGGGTGGTGGGACTTGTACATCAAGGTTTAAAGACATCGGTCGTGGTGGCATTCTAGGTTTTGGTGGAAATACCTCTAATTCTGTTTCAGGTGATATGTTTACTGAATTATCAAGTTCATCAGCTTTATCACTGGAATCTCTTCCTTGAGGATTTGCCAATTTAGTTTCGGCTCTACTTTCCGATGTAGGAGGAAAAGGTTCTGTTGTTGAACACTGATCTTCTAGTTGTTCAGCCTGGCCATCTTTTGTATTTGATTGTTCACCAGTTGTCAAACTTTCGCTATGCGTGACTAAATCAACAATTTCGCTATTTTTAGGAATTGATTCAGACTCTTTCAATGTTTTTACTTCCTTCTTTTCCCATCTTTGTTCTGTCTCATTTTCTTGATTCAAAGACATGTGGACAGGCTCAGACGAAGTACTCAACGTTTTTACAGCACTGTCTTGAAAAACATCGTCAGACGTTGAGTTTTGCTCTTCACTATTCCCACACGGGCTAGTTCCATTGTTGTCATGGTTACCAATGTCAGAGCCATTACTAAGCCCATTTTCAATACTGACTGTTTTTGTGTCATTTATTGATGTCAGGTGTTGAGACGCACCGTTACATTTAGGTCTAGCACCTTGTTTCTCGAACATATTCTGCTCTTCCTGTGTATGTTGCGTGCTTATTTCACTAGCCAGGTCAATGTCGCAGTAATTTCTGGCTGTCTGTTTTCCTGAGATTTTCCCGTTTACTCCGTTTCGGCGGTTTCTTTGACATTTTGCTTCACCAGACACAGCCAGTCGTATGTTGCCATGTGTCAACGAGTCAGAGAAGCCATTACTGCCGTCATGATTTTTCGAGTTAGGTTTCTTGGTAAACCTTTTCTTCATTCGTCCGAAGAACGAAGCCGGTGGGTCTTGTACTGGTCGATCATCCCGTGGCAGGTTCATACTTCTGAACTTTGATGGCATTTCAAATCACACACGACTAGGCATACAACCACATTCAAAGGTCGGCGTGACACGTGATTTTACGTAGGAAATGTTTAAAACCACAGACTGATTGATTGGAATGACAAAGATGGCAATTCTTTTCATATTTCGACTGTAAACAACACACAAACGCTCCGATTAAATCGTGAACTCATGCTCTTCTACATTCGCTTTTCCACTGTTTGAAATCTATCGACAATACTGTAATTTACCAACATATTTGATATTTCACGGACCAAAGTATTCTTGTTGAAAACACCGACAATAAAATCCTACTTTGACTTGTCAAGCTTCGCAGTTTGTACCCCCGTTTGACCTTTAGTTAACTTCCGCCTTTCAAAAACTCTCGCATGGGACGTGATTCCACGAGACTATGCAAGGAAAGTTTACCTGGGAAATCCAATATGGCAGCCTACTGGGCTAATTTCCCCTCACGCTGTCAAAAACTAGTTTCCCACAACCTTATCAAACCACTTCCATTGATTTGCATACCACACTGAGTTAACATGGCATCTGAAGAACAGCTCTACCAATTATGGCTGCTGTACTCGACTAAGGTAGGAATTTACAGCCCGATTGCTGTACCGTGCCACGCAGTAACCGGCTCACATTTCATTCGATTGATGTTGACTGGCCAGGAAAGGGGCGTTGGTGTTGCCTTGTTTACATGCTGATGAACTCATCAACATCTATTTACCCACTCGATCGATTAGAACCTAACCGAAGAACATCGTATATACACAGCCTGTAATGTGTATTTTAACCCGTGTAGCGTTGTTTACGTTATACGATTTGTAGCAAAACATAACATCAAATTTAATTCATATTAATTGATCAGAAATTGTGGGGTGAGGGCAAACATTTAATATTTGCGTATCAGAAATTAGCAATTTCTATTATTAAAAATACTGTGCATGATTATAGAGAATCGGTACAAATAATATCTATTTTCCTGTGTTTTTGGAATGTTGATTATTTGTATAACTTCATAACTTCACATCATTGATCAACAAAAAGTCAAGTTCACACGTGAGTTCAACAGAATACAATCTTGTAATAAAAGAGCAGAAAATGTTCCTCTATCGTGGTCTTCATTTTGCAGTCAAGGCAATTGAAGATGATTGTTGAAAGGTAGTTTGATAATATTGATGAATAGTTGATATCGTACTATATTTGTGTCCCATCTGAAGTTAATTCATCTAAAAAGTATTTGGTATGTACTGATTTTATCAATAAGATTGTATATTTGAAAGATTACTACGGATCCCTTTTCTACACCAGTGCCACGTCAGTGATTCTTCTTATTCCTATATGTTCCCATTATTATAATACATATGAAGAAAATAACATTAGCCCAGACTTTACAGTGGGTAATAAAATGTTCTTAAATAGCATGGTTAATTGGGGTACAGTCACTTCGCCCGAAATCCACTTCGCCCGAACTCCTTCGCCTGATTACCAGTTCGCCCAATAACCGGTTCGCCCAATAACCGGTTCGCCCGTTTTCCTTTTCGCCCGATTTACCGATGTCACACAGTTGGCCTACTGGGAAATTCGATTCAAAATGTACATCTGGTAAAATGCATAAAATCTACAATATGATCGCATTTTAGTCAGGGTTTTCTTGCCGATACAAACACTACAACTGATGTCCGCCAACTGATGTCATCCCCATTCACAATGGAGGGGTGGCCGACAGGCAATGGGACAGGTATGCATCGGCCGTCATACACAGATTTTTCACTTGTTTCACCATCGGTGTTTGAATAAAATACTTTCACAGTGGTGTCGTTGGCAGAATAATTTCAATCCGCGCATTTTATGCAAAGATTGACCATTGACGGAATCTTTGTACGCCCTCCGGTGTTGGGAACTTGGAACACTAAGTAGTACCTAAAGCCAACCTCGGCGTTTATCAATCTAATAAAAC